CTGCTAGCCACTTTTTTTCATCGCTTCTTGTGTAACAATTCATGCAATTATCAATGAACAATAAAGCAGAGGTTTGCCCAATCAATTATGTGAAAGGGATAATGATATTTTTGATCAATTTCGATTAATCTCACTCTCTTATCAGGGAATATTTATTTGCTGTAATCCAATATTAATAAGTTATTAGGGGATCATGCGTGCTGTAGCGATTCGTTTCTTGTTAACTTATCTAAAGGCTGTTTAACTTGTTTGTTTTATTTTTGAACAGCTAACCATGTATGTGTTCAGTCTATTAACTGGCACTGTTTTACTCACCGCTTTTAATGGATACAGTTACGGACGGGATGTTGTGGAGGTTAGTTTTCAACCTGCTATACATTATGCGCAATCTCATAAATCAATTACACTGTACATGTATTTAATAACGGAAAATATTATCCTTATAAAGTTAATAAAGTCTGTTTTAGGGAACATGTCCTTTGAGAAAATACAATATTGCCATAGCAACTATTTTGAAACAGTATTTTATCAGATGTATTGCTAACATCCTTTGGAAACAGTTAATCCATGGAATTGCAATTTTCTATCAATTTTCAATAAATCCACAGGTTCCCCAAGACGTGCAAATATCTGATCTTTGGATTCAGAAATGCACGTTGTGGTTTAGAATCATGGACACCAACAATGACGGTTTGGTCTACAAAGAGGGATACGTGGACGAAATGGCAAAACGAGCTGAACAGGTTCTCGCCCTTGGAGGGCCAATGCTGTATACGGACTAATGATGAAAGATTGGCAGGTTTCGTTCCACGGAAAAACGTCCAACACAGAACAAAAATTTAACCTCGATAGGATGCTTAAGTTAATTAAAATGGACCTCCAAAATGCAACAGTGAATGAATTAATATTATATTGGTGTTCGGGCTGGTTCCATATTCTAGATGTAGGCTGCGATGAAGAAATGTCTGTTTCTCATAACCACGGTGGGCAACGAGCTTCTCGGTGAGAATTATATCCNTATTAGATGTATTAATATAAAGATAAGCAACACAGACTAACAACGAAGCTCTGAATAACGTGGCCAAAACATGCCGTGCAACTGTAACCCACCGCAATTCCATTTTTACCTATACACCAGTTGTAAATGATTGGCGATGTATAAATATCGTATGCTACGAAACAGACGAAATATATATTATCTAAGACTCCTCCCTCCTGCGAAAATCTGTATCAATATTGATAATGGTGCAGTCGGCGTTCCGTCGCTTGCCTTGCCACACAGAACTACACTCTGCAGAGGAAAGCGTTCGAGTCGTGCCAGTGCGCAAACTAGTCGTAAACTGGCGTGAAGTGTGCGTAAACCCGTCGTGACTGCGTGCCAAGTCGAACCGAGAATTTTAAAATGTTCAAAATTTTGGTCAGGACAAAATTTCTGGAAAGGGTAGTTAACTATGCGCAAACTGTTCATGAACTCGCCGTGAACTCGTCGGGACGATGCGGAAGGATGCGTGCCATGCCACGACTGTTACGAACTGCCACGAATAGTTCACGAACAGCTCACGTATATTGCGTGCCCAAGTCGGCACGACACCGTCCGATCTGCACAAACTCGTCGTGAAGTGCGTAAACTATGTGCAAACTATGCGTGAACTTGCCGTGCCAGTTCGTGTCAATGTGGACACGCATTCGTAAACTATTCGTTAGCTCGTCGTGAACTATGCGTGAACTAGTCGGGAACAGTGCGGGAGCCTCCCACGTCGTGCCCCAAAATGGCACGACTTGCCACGACTAAATCGGGGCCAAAAGTCGTGCAAGTGTCAGCCTTACATAAGGTTAGATATTTAAGTCAACAATGAATGATTTACGTCTAAAAAGTAAATTAATAAAGATTATGCATCTTGGTTTCATTTTCGGCCGTATACTTGTTATTAATGAAATGTCTTTTTCCGTCCACAGTTATGAATGGAGATTTATTTTAAATTCTTAAACAAAGCAAACAAACAAACAAACAAACAAAAAAACATTGCGTAAATTGAACGCCCATGATGTCGAAAACAGAAAGCAGTGGTGGGGGCCTCGACAAGCAGACTCAAAGAAAGTATAATAATATTAAGTCGAATTTGTTAAGCTTTCTAATCACAGGTAAACCTGACCTGAACTCCTAAGACGCAACTAATCGACATAGAATACCCGCAAACCAGGGCCCCGTATCTCGAAAGCATCGAGTATTGTAAATCGCAATATCAAATAGAGGCTACAATGGGGCGAGTATGGGCGAGTTATGGAATCGAGACGCTTGCGCACTTGCGCAACATAGCGAACCTTTCGAGATACGGGGCCCAGACGCCTTGTTAGAATGATTGCTCGTCAATCACCGGAAATAAACACAGATGTCAAGAAAAAAATCCCAATGCTTGCACAGTAGTTGATATAATAATAATAATAATAATAATAATAATAATAATAATAATAATGGATTGATTCAATTGTTAGAGGGTTCAGTTATCTAAAACCTTTAAAAGATAGTTCTTGCACAAATGTCTCTGTTTATCTGTTTATATGTTAACAAATTTTACAGAACCGGAACTCCATCATAAGTTTATTGTAATAATATCAAATACGAATAAAACATGATTCCGTTATTTACATAATGAAATTTATTCATTTTTTTGTTTTTTTCACTGAGATTTATTTCATTTTTTATTATTTTATTTATTTATTTATTTATTTTTTTTTTTTTTTTTGAGAATCAACTAAATTATTATCGAAGTTACCAAAGTGCGGTGATTCTGAAAAACATTGTTTCCATGATTTTAATGAAATAATGTTATGCGTTGAAAAATCGGCATTGAGTTTTCGTTAGCAACATGCCCAAAGCTTGTCCAACAAACCCCTTTACCTCTTATCAGATTTCCCGTTTTAACGCACAGTTTTGGAAAGAGACACCTAACGTGAAACGTTAGTTTTTTTGGGTCAATTTCCAAGCGGTCAGTTTCTTCTCTGACACCACAAATTTTGTGTTAATTAAGGTTGCATAATTGCCCCATCAAAGGGATTCCTGTATATATTGGATTACATGATGAAGTTAGCCCGTTTATTGTCACCTGCCTTAAATTCATGACATGGAAATGTAGGTCTATTCCGGCCTTTAAGTTAGGTCTCAATACTTTACTTAGCTTTCATTTCGCTAATTTTTGTCTATTGTTTTCGATTTTGTTTCAATATTTTGCCTTGTAATTGCAAATTGTTAAAAAAAAGTTGTGTAGATATAAAACGCCCTTTTTGACATTGAGACTACATGTACCTTTGAACCGTGTTCCTACAGACCTATAATGCTTGGCTTTTTACTCATAAATTTTGGAAAATGTAACATTAATCACATACAAAAATTATCACGAAAGAGTAAACTTAACTTCACAGAGTTTGGAAAGCACACTGCAGTCCTAAATCGACGGTTAAACAGCGATGACAAGAAACCGTGTCTTGTGTGCACCCTTTCCGCTTAGAATAAATGCATAGCATTTTGCTTCGTATTCATAAAATTTGAAAAATGTAACATTAAACACATACAAAAATTATCAGGGGAGAGCACACTTATCTTCACATAATTGGGAAAGCTCGCTGCGATCCTGAATCGGCGGTTAAACAGCGATGACACGCATTCGTTTTTTGTGAGTTTAATACACACTAAAAAGTGGGGACAGGGTATAGCTAATTTTTAAATCACTTAATTACTACTTAAAAGTAGTCTCATTTAATATTCATGTGAGCGGGTCATAACGTCATCTTTGGAAAACTTTACGCTAAGTCCCCCGACCAAATCTAAATAGAGAAACGAAACTACACGCTAGCTGTGGTATCGTTGTCTTGCGAGTCTAGAGGAAACAAACCAGGATTGGGTCATAACATTTGTGATTACACGCTCAGATGACAGAATTTCCTTGCACATTGTTGTTTTATGAAAAGCAGGCTATATTTCAGATATACATAAACAGATTAACATAAACATAATCAATGCTCATTTGATATTACTTCTAAAACATCAAATTGTGTTTTAGAGAAGTATCCAAAATGCTTCTGTTTAGCGGAATCTCAGATAATAGACTAAATGAAATTTATTCTGCTCGCGACCGCTTTTGTCTCAGTGCTTAGCAAAATAATATTAAGAAAGGCAATTAACATAAACATAATCAGTACTCATTTGATATTACTTCTTAAACATCAAATTGTATTTTAGAGAAGTAATAATAACGCTTTTGTGTAGCGGAATCTCAGATAATAGACTAAATGTTTAATTCTTCAGTAAATTAAGATTATATACTTTTATATTTATTTCAAGTTAATAGTTTCACCTACACAGTGACTTTTATAATTTGCATTGCTAATTTTAGAAATCATTGTTTTAATTTCCATATTTTGCTTAGATGGAAAACTATATATTGTGTATACTAAATTGGCAAGCACTTTTAACTGCTGGACCTCATACACTATCTGATGTTGAATAGCATAGTGTTGATTATACAGGACGTTGTATTCAACCATACAATACATTCAAAAATTTATATGCTTTAATACAAAAATAGTTATTTCCCCCAAATATGTTTTATAAATAACACGTATCATCCTAAAATAAAACAACCATCCGAACGTTTTCATCTAAATATTAAAAATTTCAGCGTAAATTGTTGGTGAATTTTGACCTATATCTAATGAAGCAAGACTTTTTTTACCTGTGCCTTAATCAAGAAAGTGTCCTTTCCCAGAGCTGCATAAATAGGTGCGTTTTTTGCTGTATCTTCTACTACGTTCAAATGATGAGCATTTCTCTCATCTACCCCCCACTATCAAAGTGAATATTTTGACTGCTGCTTGTAGGTTCACATTTAGCAAGTTAGATATTTCTTAAATAAAACAATTTTGTTTATAAGTATTAAACTATACCATGTTTTCAAATCATTCACTAAATACCAATATCTTTATCAAACAATACTTTTAATATGTCATGTCATGCCATCGCTATGCTGTGCTATAAATCTGTACGTGGATAGTTTTCCGCTGGCGGTTCCAACGACAAGCTCACCGTTACTGTTGGCATCGACTGACAAAGGATATCTTATATCGTCAATCCATGTCAAAATTCTACGTAGAAATCGTCCGTCTGAACCAAGGACAACCACCCTGTCATTACGACAGTCAGCTATGAATATGTGTCCAAACATATCTACGCATATTCCTCGTGGATCATTCAGTTCCTCGCCCCCGCTTTCAATCTGATATCGCACTCCGTACTGGAACATGACGTCACCCTGGGGTGTCACTGCATACACACTGTGGGCCAAGCGGTCGCTGACTATGATTGCATTGATGCCGTGATGGTATGCACATCGCAGAGCACCATTACTGCACATTGGGATAGCAATTCTTTGAACAAGTTGAAAAGATACCATGTCGTACATACAGATGCACTGTGCACCACTATCACACACGTACACCTTACCCTCTGTACGGTCCACAGTGACACCCCAAGGGTCAGACATATCACCCTGACCAAAACATCGGATAACCTGGCCTGATGTTGAATACAGTCTACAGCATTTATCTCTGCATGTGACCACGAATCTATCGTTACTGACTGTAGTGATATACCTCGCTTTTCCCTCTATACTGATCTCACGATTACACTGGCCTGTGCTGAAGAATATGGACACTGTAATACCATGCACAACTAAATAGCACCCGTAATCGATGCACTGGATATCCCACGGCCAACCCTTCACGTTAAAACAGGTACCCCGCTTAAGGCATCCAAGGAATTTGGCTTTCTGAAATTCTTTCGGTACGGTATAGTACGCTCTTTCTTGATTCAAACTTCCAAAACATGCATCCATGGGCATTTTCCGGGATGTTTTGGCCGTAATGGACCCCGGTTTAATGGTCAGTAGCCGTGGTTCAGGGATTTTAGGCAACTGAAGCACGACATCCATATTTGTTTGCCCTGGTGTAAACGTTATGTCGGTGATTTCAGTATCAAAGACTGGTTCTACGTTTTGTAACTCCTGAATTCTAGTTTGGAGTATTTTAGAGTGTGTCATGACCTCGATGTCAGAACCGGTGTTTGTGAGCTGCTGAGCGAAATCATTAATGGTCTGAATCGAAATCTTATTCATTTCAAGCCTGTCCTTTTCAGCTTCTAAAGTCTTCACCTGCGTGGACGTTAGTCCCTTAACTTCTTCCGATATTGTGTTGCTTTTTTCATCTAAACATCTTTTCATTTTGGTGTAATCAGACTGTACTTTTGTTCGACACGTTTCCAAATGCTGCTTGACATCGACCAAATAGGCGTCCGTCTGTTCGCGTACATACTTCTCTACTTGCTGGTAATAATCGGTGAGTTCTCTTTCAATAGTTTTACTGTTTTTAATTATCTGCTTTGTCATAGCTAATTTCTGAGAATCCACCAAACGAAGAATCTTTGTCTGATTTTCTGTCAGCCTCTCTTCCGTTCGTACAATGGCTTTCTCCACCTTTTCAAAACGAGACAGTTTCCCGTTTGGAAGACATCTCAGTTTTGCTTGTATTATCACCCGCTGAGCCTTCACCACATCTGCAATTTTTTGGAAGTCGTGTTTACTGTGAGTTTCCAAAATACAATCTCTACATGCCACGGTGTCATCCTCTTTACAATAGAATTTTAGCAACTCGCCGTCGTGATTTTCGCAGTATTGAGCAATATGTAATATCTGACGTAACTGAGTTTGTTTGTTAGCTGGGTTAACTGATATATCGATTTGTGACTGAGGTACAAAGTGATGATCAGTTAATGCTGGGATGCTATCATGCAATTCACGACATGTAGCGCACAGTTGGTTGGTTTTGGGACAGCCTTGGCAAAGCAAAGTAGTCTCTTTATGTTTACAATACTCACAAAGATTACCCTCTGGCGCTTTCTGATCTTTCATGAAGTCTGTTACTTTTCTTAAGAAAAAGTTTTTCACGAGAGTGTCTAACCCACCTGGTGGTACAGGGGCCTCTTGGCGACACACGGGGCAGAAGAACTTGTTCTGGTCACCATTCTTGGCTGCATGGTCAGCAATGCATTCCAGGCAGAATGTGTGGTTACATGGGAGCACTCTCGGGTCTTTATATTCCCCCAGACATATATGACACGTTAGAAAGTTCTCACTGAAGACGCTGTACATCTCTTTCGAAGCCACTGCCATAGTATATAAGCGCCCAGAGTGGGCACAGCGCCCCGCCCCTACACGCCGACCGGAGCTCTACAGCTGCCAAAGCCGTTACGAAAGCTTATATATCATTAATTAGTTATCTATGCTATTTAAAGTTGTCACCAGATCAACACAATCACAATCAGGTGATGTTGCCAATAACCAAGACGGTGTCAAATTTTAGTGTACCAATTGATTGTTTGCCATATCAATGAAACACTGTGAGGGGTGACATTCCATTGACGTGCCTTAATGCGCCCACCTCCCCCTAGAAGGGAAGAACCGTTCCTTGACATTTGCAGGGCACCCACACCTTGCATCACGTTTACCCTAACCTGCACGAATTCAATGGAGATCGGACTCTCTGTTATACAGACTTGTGTGACGTCTCTCGTAGCGGTCCTAATTATACGCCTAGGCGACATACGAGACTAGGAAGCTCGCATGAATCCGCGGGAGGTGGTTGGGGCTAATTTATTAGCAGTTAGGAAGAAACTCCATATGTCGGTAATGTTTTTTTTTTTTTTTTTTTAGAAAGCAATAGTGACAGACTAAACATGGTGAATTGCTATTGTTAGGCAATAGGCTGTAACTTTTGAGCAAACAAGTGAAAATATCCGTGAATAAGTTATGTCAGCTTTCCTTAGTCATCGCACCTCAGACGTCATTATTTCTGCCCCCCCCCTCCCCCCCTCTCCCCAAATATTGCTTGGGTATCGAGACTTTGGGATGTAAGGGATGCTTTCCATTGTTTGTCATCTATTCTACTTTAAAATTGTCACCAACTGATTCATGTGAAAGGAATGCATGTCCTCCAGGAACGGAGGTCCGTAGGACCTCCGTTCCTGGGAAAACATGTCCTATGGACGTGCTTTCCCTAGGATGTACTGTCCTACCCGGACCTAGATTCCCAGCTGTATTTATACGCAGCTAGGACATGTATTCCTGTCGGACATAATTTCCTTTCACAGAAACGCAAGTCCTACATAAGTAATGTCCGGACAATAATTATAAACACGGGACCATAAGTATCGGTAATTTCAGTCGGCTGGCAGCAGCTTCCACACAGGCTCATCAGTAAGACGGCTGGATGAATAACCAACAGCGTAGAGGAACGTAAGTGAGTTCGAATCCTCAGCAGCGATTTTACTCTATGTGCAAATGTTATCCTAATGTATTGTCCATTTCAACGAACTAAGCGTCGTTATACAATTTGGATTATTTTAATGTGGCGAGATTTTAAATGTTTAATTTAAGTTTCATCATGTTTTTAACGTTGAGCTATTTTAGATTTCCTTCAATAACTCGAGGGAGATTATACGAGAGCAAATGCTTTCTACTTTCACCTAAAAATGCAAAGAATTAAGATGGGAAAGTCATATGAAAGGCAAAAATTGCGCTCAGAAGAATGTTAGGACTAATAGTAAAAATGCATGTATAAACAATAAAAGACACATTCAATTTATTTATCAGACAATTATATTTCATTTACAGTCTCAAACTGAATATTATGTCTCTCTAACTACAAATATTCCCAATGATCATCAAGGCACCAAGTATAAAATAATTAACTGTTACCCGAACGATATGTATACCAGTTTCAGAACAGCTCGAACGTCATCGAGAAGTGTTCAACACGTACTTGTTAGTGAGTATATCTCGAGAGGGTGGCTGTGTATTATTTCACACATTCGTATTTCACCGAAAAACACCCCGTAAAACGTATAATGTGATGTTTATAAGGACAAAAAACATATTGCTTAGAAATGGGCAAGAGCCAAAATCCAAAGCTGTGTACCCCAGACATACAGTTAATGGCGCGAATCTCATATTTTTCATATTAATCGGAAATAAAATGAAAATCTACACACACACACACACACACACACACACACACACATATATATATATATCCTAAATCTAGTATTGATTTGTAGACATTTTTTCGTTTACTTAAAATCTCTTAAGTTAGCCGAATAAAGTGTGTATAGGGGTACATGTATACAAATAATTGTAATAAGTGTAATAACATCCTTAAACATCACGTTTAAATCTTCTAAAATTAACACATCATTCATATGAAAATGTCAGAGGACATCTATTACTAGTCAAGCTGGGAAAATATGTCCGACTAGGACATCGATACCTGTCTGCAGGACTTAGAATACTAAGTAATGGGTGTCCACTGGACGTTTAATCCCAGGAAATTATGTCCTAGGGCATGCGTTCCTAGGTATGGAAGAGCCAGGACATGCATTCCCAGGACTTAGTGTCCGCAGGACATTCATTTCTAGGAATACATGTCCTACGGACATGCATTACGGCGGACATCCATTCCCTTCACACCGGTGTGGCATGTACCGCTCGGAGCGTGAACCATCCGTTCTGCTCATGCGCACAAAGCGCAGGCAAATCCCCAGGATGGTTATGAAGAGCGTTGCTTCCAACTAAATCAATCCACACCTCGTCTCCCTATGAGAGCCGCAAAGCAATAGTATTACTGCCTGTCGCATGTCCCATAGAAGATCTACCATGCCCAGTATTCTTTATCTGACCATTGTGGTTCAATCTGACATATACGGATTTGTTGTAGCGGCTAAGACTAGTATTTGAAGACGTAGACTCCTGAAGAAGGGGAGGTGAATATCCCGGTGTATTTATTATAACCGTTGCCACCGTTGAGAAAGACGGTGTCGTAGACAACCACAGCGTTACCTTTCCCCGTCTGGTCAAGATCATGTGATCTCCCCGCCGAGAACGCCACCAGTTTGTAGGCTGCAAGGAGATTGGAATCAACTAAATCTGCATAATATTATTACAGAATCATTCTAACCAAACAAGAAACTATTGTACATGTTAGTTTATAATCTATTATAGCCTATGGGGCCTTCGTTACCAATTAATGCTTCACTGCTCCTCTGTCACCATTACAACTTGCCCCCTTTGCATGCAAATCGTTACTTAACTGAAATTGCAATTATTTCAAGGCCATTATTTAAAAGAGAGTTTTTAATGATTTACAAACTTTAAAGTGACAATTATTGTGTTACATAAAAGAGCACGTGCTCGTATCCAGCGTTGTCACCAGCAGTACAACTAACATGGCGCGTGTAACCATTTTAAAGTTGTCTGCAATAGAAAAACTATCTCAGTTGGTCGAGTTTATTTGCATGTAATTCTGTGCCTTTCTTCAAAACTTAGCCTATGTTTATTTCATGACCATTGCTACTTGTATCTTATAAACATAAATCTCCAAATTCTCCTATTTGATTTTAAACCGCGTAGCAAATGCAGAATTAACAAGATTGATGTAAAATCGAACGAATGAAATAATGTACCTGTAGTTTTCCACGTTTTATCAAAAAAAAAGGGAATACAGGGAAGTTTGGCGTTGTGAAACGAGATTTTATGGCGACAACAATCCCCAGAGCTTATTTACGCGCATGCGCATTCTGCACATGCTCAATTGTACCCTAGAGGGGAGGTCCCAAATGAGGCACATGGTGCTACTTATTGACCCATTA